TGAAATGTGCAATTTCTTTCAGATGGACATAGCTACGCAGATTTAGTAGGATGTGTGCATGCATATGTTTATGTGTGTTTGTGTGTTTATTGCTTCAGAATTGCCTAGAGTTACATCATCCCAAGAGATATATTCAGCCCTGTATGCTCAGATGGAATATGATGTTTGCACATAAAATGATAAGGATTCATGAGGCACTCAGACAGGAAGGTGAGGTGAGGCCGTTATAAAACAGATGCTAACACTACTTTGGGGCTGAGTCCTCTGAGGTAGGCTGCTCTATGACAGACTAGTCTGTGTTTGAAAAATGTTTTCCCTGGATTTTTTATTTGAAAATAATTTTAACCAAGCATGGAAATTCATTATTTTGATCTGACATTTAAGTACATTTTCAATTGTATCCAGATTTTATTGACTAGGAAAAAAAGCTATAATTGCTCTAGTGACTAGGATAAATGAAACATTTCTGAAGTAGTATAAAGATCATCTAAATTCTTGAAGTGATAAGATTTGGCTTGAAACCAATAAATTAATTTGATATTTAGAAAACAAAAAAAGCCAGCAAGCATCAGACAAAAAGCTTTATCCAAGGTATTTGTGCATCCTCAGTCTGTTTTACATCCCATTTTCCATTTGGCAGCAAACCTGGCGATTCAAGTGAACAGTCATTTGTCAAAAAAAGCAAAGGCTGAAAGGAAAGATCATGATGATCTTTTTATTATTGGCATTAAATATTTATCAGCCCAATTCAGTAACAGATACATATATGTGCTTATGTGATAGAGATAAATGTGTGAGTATGTGCATGTACATGCATGTGGCTGTTCCGTACATACAGAGTGGATTATATTGGAGCACACTGTTGAAGGGTTAGATACCGGAGTCTGAGGGTGCTGAATATATGTGGAACTCAACAGGAAGGAAGCTGAAGATGTGTGAACCCTACCTGGAGTGTTCAGGATCTCTCAGTCTGATACACACTCTCACCATCCCCTCTCATGATGAACTATAGTGGTCTGAAAGTGGGGTCCACAACCTATGGCAGATACATTTGTAAGATCCCCATCAGATGACATCTTTTGGCTCTTACTAAGTATTTACTGGCATACTTAACTTGTAATTTGAGAAAGAAATATATATCCTGCTTTACCACACTTGTTTTTCCCCACTGTAATGTAAAACTGCAAATGTGGTGAGGCTCTTTGGTATATATCCAGCTAGCAGTCCAGATTTGATCACACCAAAGCAATAAATATCTTCAATACAGTAGATCATGCTTATGTTCATTTAAAAGAAACACACCTAATATCAGCTCTGTTCAGTTTTTGCTCCTTTGTTGGTACTATAGGCAGTTTCTGGAATGAAAGCAGTCCCTCTATATTTATCTGTATTTATCTTTTGAAAGCTACCTAAGACAGCTCTAGGAAGTGTTAACTTCCCTCCTTCATCAGCTGCGGGTGTTAGTTTCATAGCATTGTCAGCACAATCAGCACCCCAATTACCTTTAAAACCACTGTGAATAAATACATTTCTTCATGATGCAAAGCTTGGAAAATATCCAGTAATTTCTAAAAGCAAGCTGATGTCTTCCTATCAGTTTACCAGCAAAAAAATCAACTTGAGAATTCTACAGTCACACATAAGATATTGTAATCACAGTGATCAGTAATCAAAAATGTCTGGTTTGAAGTCAAGCATGTTAACCTGTGTATATTCATTTACTTATGCCCTCTTAACTCAGTCTTGCAAAGATAAATAAGCCCATTTATAAAACCAACAACATATTTAAGTATAGAATTGGGGCTTTGCTTCCCATGTGTAAGAATTGAGAGGCTATCTTGTGGAGTGTTTCCACAAACCATTTATTTTTAATGCTTCTTTATTTTGAGGCAAGTAGGGATAGATTCTGCAGTACTGACATTCCACATTCTTGTACCCTTTTTATTTAGTTCAGACATATTCTCCAGTCTTCCAGGAATATGCATGTTTGTGCATGTCCCTCGTCCCTGCCTATAAAGACAGGCACCCATCAATACTTCAGTTTTATGACACCTCAGTATTTTTTTCTCAGCATATTTTGAAAATTTTGACAGCACAAATTTGAAAGTGTCTGCTTTCTCGTGTGTTCACCTGCTCATCTCCACTTGTTTAACTCCTTATCCCTATATGCCAATAGATATTATCAGTAAATCCTCCTGGTTTAATCTCCAAAATGTCTCAGAAATCTCCCCTTTCCTCTTCATTCTCCCCATAAAATCTTTGTCAAGTCCATCCTTCTCCACATCCATGCCTACTGCGACCTTGCTGTCTTCAGCCTCTAAATGACACTCACATTAGCCAGTTTTTAAAGTAGTCTAATGCAAAAGTAATCCACTGCTCCCAGTATTGAGATCTCATTAAGATATTCCTAAATCCCTCTTCTTCACTGTCTCCCTATTGCCTTCTAAATCTGATCGAAGCTCCTTTTATCACCCAGAGTTCCTCTTGACCTAACCTTCCTTCTTCTGTCCTTGCTCTGTTCTTCCACATTTTTCTTCTTTATGTACTCCCTCCTCACCTACTGCTGCTCACAGTGTAAACCATTTGCCAATTAGACCTATGCACTGCCTTTGAGGTTGTCCACTATACCTGTGAGTGGAGTAAGTAGTTCAACAATACTATTCCAGATGGAAAGTATCCTGATGTGATTGGCATAGTCCCCTCAATAAGTTTGAACTATTGACTACCAAAAAGCAAGTCTTCATGTGCCTTACTAGCAAAAAGGGAAGGAGGCATTTGTCTTCTTATAGTGAGATTATGGTTTTTTTCTGAGTCATCCACAATTTCTCCTGTGTCCTTAGGCCTCCAATCAGAAAAGGAACTAAAGTTTTTACTATAAATTTATTATTACTATGATTCATGAAATTGCTCTCCAAACAGTCTATCTGAACACCCCTTACAGAAAACTGATGTCTAGATGAAATTGAAATGTACATCTCTGGCTTTTCCAAAATATGTTTCCAGCTCTTAAGATATGAAATTTAGGTTGTAACTTCTTGCTCTCTCCACTTGCTTATTATTAAACATCTCTTAGCTTGATTTTGGGGAGTAAAAAGACACAGAGCAATAAGATATAATTTCTGCGTTATAGGCTATCCAGACCCAGCCCTTATTAGTCCACTGAAATTTAGCAGCAGGATCTGTAAGTTAGTTCAGACAAGCCAAGCTGGCAATACAGCACGTATCAGCACGAAGGACAGGACATGCAGATCAAAAGTCCCCTCAGTTCATCTGACTTTCTGTTCCTCTGTGTCTCTGTGCATTAGATTATGGGAAAACTTAACAAAACAAACTAACTCCTATTCCCTTCCTCTCTTCCCCTTTAAGTCCTCCCCCCCCCCTCACAAAATCAAACGGGAGAAAAACAGTCTTCCTACACCTGGACCCTTTGTTCATTATTCTGTGGTTCATCGAAAATTAACATCCGGTTACTGGAGCTTCCTCTCTCTTTGCCAAGGTGCTACAGAAGTATTTTATGCCAACTGGACACCTACGTGCTATTTCTACATGCCTCACACCTCCCTGGCCTGACTAGAGTTTAACCCATTGAACTCCAGCTAGCAGCAATCATGAAGCTGGAAAATGATAGTGAGCAAATAGTTCCTAACAAGTTTAGAAAAAATGTTGCTACATCCACATCCACAGGTAATTCCTAAGAGCAGGCTGATGCTTTCCTATCCATTCCCTACCAAAGTCCCAACCTCAAAACTTTCTAGTCAGACATGAGATATTCGACAGCTTCATGTCCTTTTTATTTTGTTTAGAGAGATTCTCCACTCTTCCAGCAGCATGCCTGTTTGTGCATGTCCCTCTTCTTCCATCTATAAAGACAGGCATACATCAGTGCTTCAGTTTTACAATGCTTCAGTATGTGAGTCGTCATCTCCAGGAAGCTGGGAAATGATGATATGCATGTCATCCATAACAAGATTAGAGAATACATTGCCATGTTGGTGCGTAATACATGTATATGCTGAAGTTTCATCGATTAGGGTACTATAATGAGGATAGAACTGCTCTCATGTTTAACGCAAAGACATGCCAAATCCTTTACCAAATTGCCTATATCGAATATGTCCTATTACACAACACCCTGTTTCAGTCCCATGAACTCATAGAAACTTTGGCTCCTTCAGCTCCTGAGATTCCCAGCCATACAATTGCCTTCCTGCCTCTTTCCTCCCTGCCTATAGGTCTTTGTTTTGCTCACAAAGCAGAGTTCAGTGGATTTCCTGTGCCCCCTCACAGGCCATTACCCTTAAAGCAACATCGTTTGGCTGCAGTAAGGATCTATCTCAAAACCGAAGAAAGCAGTAGGAAGAACGATTGCAGTCAGCCAAGACTACAAGTCTCCAAAAAATGGGTCTTGGGGCTCACATATACTCGGCTCACCAGGAAAAGGTGGAAGGAAGCATGTAGACCGTTACCTCTGAGCTTATAAACTCTGACCTAGTTACTAATCTCCTTCACCTCTTCCTCACCCTCCCTGATCTGCTCCACCATTCTGCGGTTGCTTCTTTACTCCTCCTGCCAGCAGGCTGCAGCTCACCCCTTCCATCTTCATCTCCCCTTGTCCCAGGCACTCTCCCAAGCAGCTCCTTTAACGCATCCTTCTCTAACCCACTCACCCCCGAATCTTCTCTGATAGCCCCTGCAAAACCCAGGCTCCTACTTCTCTTTTACTTTCTCATTTATTCCCTTCTCATTGATTGCCTACTTGCCAGAAGACCAGGTCCTGAGCCCCTCCTGACCCTTCCCGCCCTGCCTGCGAGTCTCAAGAGCTTTTGGAAACGTGAAGCTTGGGACAAAGGGCAGTGTCAGGGCTGTGCCTGCACCAGGACGTTGCTTTCCTGATAGGCATGTGTGCGTATTTTGCACATGGTCATACATTTTAAGGCAGGGAGGTTTTTTCTGTGACACAGGGGATCTGCACCAGGCACCACACAGCAACAGCATCACCAATGAAACTGCTTCCATTCCTAGGTAAGTGAAATCTCCTTCCCTGGGGAGCGAGTGGCAGGTGGGAAGGGAGCAGGGTCTGGCAAGGAGAAATGAGTGGGTTGGAGATGGTGGAGAGCTGCTGGGTTCACGGGACTGAAAGTCCCCGTAGCTTTGATCAGTGCTGCTACCAGATTTGGTAATTGCATGGTTAATTTCATCCCAAAAACAAATCCCAAAAATGCTAGTCTTTATATCACTGTGGGTTTTGTTCTGTAAAAAACAGGAATATTGTGGATTTCCATGGGTTTGGTATTGGGGGTTTTTTTTCTCTCCATCTGCTTGGGAGATTTTTAGATTTCACATGTTATGAACAGTAAAATGACAACAGAATCCCACAGGTTTCTGTTTTAATCTCTGGAAGATGGTCTCCTCTCTCAAAAACAGAGGGAAAAGATTAAACTTGGTGATACCTAAATTGATTTAGATTATATATAATTGTGGAAAAATTGTGTGTAATTTTTAGTCTTTTGAATTTTTCATGAAATTTTAATTTGTCCAAGAAAACAACGCCTCAGTGAGATTTCCTGAAACAATGTAACCTGTAATTGTAACACTAGGCTAGCAAATATCCAGAATAATATTTGGGTAGGGAAAAGCAGAACTCCAGGGGAAGAGAGCATACAAAACGGTCTTTGTGTTCTGTGACTTTTGTTATGTCCTGCTAACAATTTATAGAGTACAAAGTAGAAAACTTACTGTCCCTTCCAAGTTAACTGCCTCATTTCTAACCTATTACAGGGTGTGTATAATTATTCAATGAGTTGTTAGTTTTCTCAAAGGGAGAGATTCCTTTTTTCTTTGTGTTAAAAACCATATGCATTCATATAATGGGAAAGCAGTTAGACCATTTAGGAATCATCCAGTGGATGGAAAAAAGACAATACTTTCCTAACATGGAAGCAGTATTTTAAGAGATTAACTTTAAATAATTTGGATAAGTTTTTAAACCCTAATGTCATAGTGCTGTAAATACTGTGACATGTAATTTTCATCTCTCATACTATGCACATGTGTTAGCTATGCAAGTATGGAAGTGCTTATAAAAATAAAAACTCTGATCAGGGGAATCCTCTTTGGTATTTTTCACTTGATAGGTGTAGGGCAGTTTGGATTACTCTCAATACATAATTCAGAGTGGAAATTCCAGTCTGTGCCTTACTGGAAAGTACTAGAGAGCTTTGAAAGCCTTTCAAATGTTTTCCCCAGATCACTGAGTAACTTCTATGTTGTTTACCAATTTTATACCGGTTGAGCACACATACAAGTTCTTAATCTACAGTGTGTCCTGTTTCTGGCCCCTGGGTTTACCAAAGAAATCCCTGTAGTTGGTGGTCCTTGCCCCATCGTGCGATATAGCTGAGACTGTGATGCTGTTTAGTTCACTGGAATACAGCAATTTTGTGGATACCTTTTGCCTAATCTGGTTTTAGAGTTTGGAATGAAGTTTTCGGATAAAGAAACAAGTCTGATTTTCCTTTGTTCCAGTTCTGATTTCCAGTCTGCTGGACTATGGCTGCACTTCTGCAAGCTGCAACATAACATGCCACAAAGACGCCAGATGTGAAGTTCGGGGTGGGACAACAGGCTGCTATTGCTCCCAAGGATACACAGGAGATGGCATAAGATTCTGTTACGGTAAACAGATTTTACCTGTATGCATTTCTGTTATGTGCTTGCTTGAAAAACTTACTCAAGAGCCCATTAACTCAGGGATTAAACTTTGTGTCACAACACCTTACACTAATGTGTTCTCAAAGCCAAAAACTTCAGCAGTTTCTGAGAAATTCTACAACTTACTCTCAGCCTAGTATTTTAATATAGCATACCGTGCATCTCGGATGAGTATGACCTGTTTTCCAGCTTTCCTTTTCCATGAGAGATGCTGATGTATCTTCTCTGATTTACCATCAGCAACTTCCCTTGTGACTCAGGACTTCCGAAGCTTGGAGTTGGCATGACTGCTGCTTTACAGCCCTCACATCTCATCCACACACATGTAGTGCTAGGCTGCTCTTCCCAGCAGCTGATCATGATCAAATAATACAGCTCCTGGGCTACTCTAGAAGACTGAGGAGGAGGGCTACTCCACAGAGACGTGCCCATGTGTGAGGCCAATGTTAATTTTTCCGCTACAGCTGCTTGCAAGGGAAATATGCCAGAAATTCTACAGAGGGGTCTGCCCCTGGATACCTTTATCTTCCATCCAAAGAAAAGGATATTTTCCTTGCCTTCATTTTTGACTTGTCCTCCACTATGAATAGCTCTAGTACTTATTTCCACCATTAGATAAAATGATGCCCAGCTGCAGGCAGGCTGAAATTCATATGAATCTTGTCAGTTTGTCGGTGTCCTGAGAAGTAGTGATGAATATTAACCATCTGCTTGGTCAGTTTTTGTGTTTCATGCAACTCGGGAAATTTAGAAGTAACAGAGGCACTTCAGTTTGGTATGAGCACAGGTAAGCGGCCCACCTTTAGTTTGGATATTTATAGCTCATTTGCCATGGTGTACTTGGAAGTGTGCTTGTTTTAGGAAAATTTAGAATGCGAAGACCTTTTTTCTAAGGAAGCTGCCTACCCTTTTATAAGCTGAGAATGCTTAGAGAGAAATATAGCTGTCTAAAATAATAAACAATAAGGAATCACAAAAATCATAGAATAATTTAGTTCGGAAGAGACCTCTGGACATCATCTGGTCCAGCTCCCCACTCGGAGAAGGTCCTACTTAGACAAGGTTGCTCAGGGCCTTGTCCAGCCAAGTTTTGAGTATCTCCAAGGATGAAGACTGCACACCTTTCTAGGCCCCTGTTCCAGTGTCTGACTACCATAATTTTGAAAACTTTTTTCTGATATCTAGTTGAGGTTTCTCTTGTTGCAGCTTGTAACTTTTGCCTCTCATGTGCACTTACCACTGTACATTTCTAACAATAGTTTAGTTTCATCTCCTTTCTAAACCCCCGTGACCCCCATTAGGTAGCTGTAGACAACAGTGTGATTTCCCCTTTGCCTTCTCTTCTTAAGCCTGAACAAACACTGTTCTCTCAGCCTCTTCTTTGCATCGTGTGTCATGTAGTCACTAAACATATTTCTTGAATTTAATGCTAACCTTGCCCTAAATATAGGTCAATCGTTATTTGTCTATTGAGCTGGTCAAAAGAAAATAAGAAGAAATGACCTTCACCGCACTAGTATTGTATTTTCACTAATTCAATTTTACTACCATGAGTAAGCTGGTTGATTTGAAAGTTAAGTGCACATTACGTTTGCAGAGTCAAGGGCCTATGCTTGTGAATAATGCAGAGAAAGATGAAAACCAAGTCAATTTTTAGCAATACTACCAGGAACAAATGAAACCACTGCTTACTTATCTACCATGATCAGGTATCCACTATATTGTCTGTACTTTTCTAGAAAGTTATGATTATGAATCATCAATTAAATTTTTGGTAAAGATACCTGTTGTTCTTCACTGACATTACTGATGTTCTTAAATCCATCCATTATATATGTATCCATTATGGCGTCATTAAATCCATTTGTTTGAGGATGGATTTTTCTTACCTTCCATGTTCTTTTTTCTCATACAGTATCTTTTTCTTACTTTCTCTTTTGTCTGTATTTTCTTAGGGAAATCTAAATTCTAAAGTCATAAAAACATTTATTGATCATTTAAAGAACACTCAATACAGTGAAATATGCATTCACAAATCTTGTGAATCAATTAATTGTTTATTAAGAATTATACTAAGTGTTTGGAAACTCAATCTTTAAAATAAAATTTCCAATGTCAGTCCAAACAAACCAGCTACTAGATGTATTTGTGGTGCTTTGGAGTTAAGTGGCAACAGTTTGAAGCAAGCCTCATGTGAGGAGACCAATGTTTTCTCTGGTAAAATACCTCAACAACCACCAAAGTCACTCACCCTCCAGCTAAGCAGCAAAGCTTGTATCAGAACTATGTGGCTGTCGCGCCTGAAAGAGAGACAACGTTTCTCTAGGGCAGCATGTTACAGGGTGCATTATTAATATTGTGTAGTAGTCCTCTAATAGCATAAACAAGTAACCTGAATTTTAATTGGGTAGGCTTTAAAAAGGATTAGAAATATAGGCTAAACCCCATCATAAATAGTTTAAAGCTACCAAAATGTAAAGCAAAACCTCAGTTGTTTAATGATGTATTAGATCTTGCTCTTCTGTGTGGTGAAAGCGGCAGGTATATCTGCTGTTCTGGAGATAGCTACCCATTTTTCTTCAGTGAATAATCAAGCTTTTACAATGATAGTCCAGTCACCTTCAAAGGAGATCATCAATTATGTGCTAATACAGGCATTTTCTAAAAAGTATATATTGTACGTTGTGTTTACATATTTGCTCTTTTAGTTATTTATCCAGGTTGTGAGAGTCGTAATTACTGTCAACAACGTTAGTAATTTCACATAGCGTAGAACCAACTTCTTCATTGTGCTTATCCTGGTAGACTATTAAACCAGAACAGTTGTTGTTTTGAGGGTTTATTCTGGAACAAGCAATTCAAATTCTTTCTCCTTATAAAAATGTTGAACAACAAAAAATGCCAGTTTTCAGGTTAGTCCTTTTAAGCTTGTATAGCGGGAAAACTGTCCCCTTTTATTTATAGGTACATTCTCTTTGTTTTTAAAACGTTTACATTTGTTTCTCTACTTTCACTTGCTTGTAACACCTCTTAAATACTTGTAAAAGTTATTTCTTTGCTAGCTCTGTCTTTTCAATGTGATACACTTAGACATTTTCCCTTGAGTTTACTGTGCTGCAAAAGGCAATAATGCCCTGTTACATTTATTTCCTAGCACCATTATTGATGAATCATGAATCACTGATGTCAGCATACCTTAGGAATGGGGTTTGTTAGTTTTTACTTTCCTCCCTTTGCCAGCTGGCTAAGTGACTTCAGAGAGCTCAAGATTATTGGATTTGCTGTGTATAGATAAAGACATATAGATATGAATTTAATTTCCTGGTGTCAAAGTCATGGCTTTTAAAATAATTATCCTCTTACAATCTTTCCCACAAGATTTCAACCACTTTAAATTAGGTCATGTTTTGGACTTTCCAAAGGCATACTTTGGCCAGTCTAACAAAAAACTAATCCTCTTCATAATCTCATTGTCTTCAGTAAGAATATGTGCAGGAATGCACACAGTCAGGAGAATAAGTGATTGTGGGATCTGGCCTCTTTATATATTGGAATTATAACTTACATAGCAATAAATTCCTTCTGTACAGTATCTTCCAGAAAGCCATAAATGAGTCACCTTGTCAAGCTTTACACCTCTGAGGTACAAAATACTATCCCATTCTTCTTACTTCTTCTTTTGTATTTATATTCCTTGCTTTATGTAGTATTAGATGAGAGAGAACAGCCTCTGAAAATATAACTATTTGCCTTGTAGGACTCTGTTCTTGGGCAGATGTGTATTCTGAATGTAATGCATGAGGCTTTAGCTTCACATTATCATATACCTAATTGAAGTAGCACAGCTAGAGCTCTTGGCATAAAAATAAAAATATATCCAGATAAGACTGATTTATAGTCAAGTGAACTTCCTCTTGTGCAAAAATGCCATGGAATTTTTACAGATAAATAGTGTATATTTGCCACCTTTGTAAATCTATTTCTTTATATAAAAAGAGTCAGCCATATAAATTAGATGTTGCTCATAATCTCAGCTTTCTTCCAAAAGAAAATTAAAAGAAACAAAGAAAATTTCAGATCCTTTAGAGAAGACTGTGGTGGAAGTAAAACTTCATAGAAGCCAATATTTTATTTTTAAAACAGGGAAAAATGAGTTGGCATCATTGATGCTTTCCTAAGCAGCTCTGCTGTTTCAATACTGGCTGCTTCTTGATTGCTGACTGCCAATTTGCTGCTTTGCTGGCACACTGCAGGAAATTAAAGTAAACAGTGTGATCACAGTGTTTACTTTAACTTTGTAAAATACGGAAGGAAAATGAAGCAGTGCTGTTTGTTCCAGGAGGGTAGGGAGGCAAGCAGGAAAAGCCTGAACACAATATCCCTCCCAGATATCCCCTCACAATATTCCCTTGTAAATGTCACTTGCAAATTATACTGCAAAATTAATCAGTCTTACTTGTAAAATAGTTACAGCTCTTCCAGAAATAGTGAGCAGGGACTTAGGCTATCAGGCAAACTTTGTACTGAAGTAAGGCACTGACTTTTTCTGAAGTGCAGTGTAGGAGGATTTATCATTTTCCAGAGGCAAAAAATACATCAGTGCAAAGTGGTATTTTATATCAAAATACAGAATCCCTGTTAGAACACAAGGTAATTTGTGTAAACTCAGTTGAATCAAATTCAAAGCCTACTCAATATCTGAACATAAACATATTTTCTTGTTTTACTGAGGGTCATACAACCAACCCTCTGGCTTTTGCCAGCTGTAAAAAGGACCTTTCCTGTGAGACATCAGCTCCTTGCTCTAAAGTGATGTCACTGTGTCCCATCATCAACTTTTACTGCAGTCACTGAATTTGTTTTGATTCACTGGTGTCACCATTGCTGTTCTGCAGCACCCAACTGGTGTATAGTTTTGAGGGAAATTTTACTTTTCAAATTAACATGACCCTGTAAAACCACTA